TTCGAATTCATGTTCGTATTTTTGTCCGTTCTCTGCGCTTACGCGCGTACTTATGGAGTTTATTCCATAAGAACATGTGTATACAACTCAGCTCTCAAATGCACGCATACGTATACGTACGCATACGCTTGCCTATGGAGTTCCAGCTTTACTGAGCGCTCTATGACCACATGCGGGTTTCACCCACATACGAGCAATGATTTCCACGCACGCAGTCTTATCCATTGAATCGTTTTTTTTGCTATGGTCGGCATGCTAGCGCATTCAAACGATTCAATAAGTGGGACTGTGTGCATTGCTCAGCTGACGCTTTACCGGAAGCGTTGCCACTTGAAAATTACCGGCCGTCTGCACGTGCTGGAAAATCTCGCTTGCGTGACGACGCATACGAGAAACCGCACGTGTAGACCGCAAAAAGTTCGAAGCATGCTTTTTCTTGCATACCGAGCGGTATTCGAGCTCTCGCTTGCTTTCAACTGTCATTTTTGTTATTTGACAGCTATGTTCTCATTTCGCAGAATACTACAGAGTAGCAACATCGTTTATTTTGGAGGCAAATACAAATTTAGATGCAGCCATTTTTCATTTGAAAATAGTATACATAAAGCAACATGGGCTATTTCTATTTCTAATTTTCTCAAACTTTTAAGAGCCTGCAAGGCTTCAACCTTCTTGTTTGGCGACATTTTACAAATGAAAAAGTATACTGTCAAATGCCCAGTCAACAAAACTCTATCTCGCTTGCGAGAGAAAAAAAAAGCATGCCAGCGAGATTTTCAAGCATGTGAAGACGGCCGGTTAGGGGTGGCTCACAAGCATGCATATGTTCCGCTCTCAAACCAAATCGTGGTTGCCTCAACTAAGATTTGGTAACTATGACTAAACCATATGTTGAAAGAAAGCTTATCTGTACTAGCCGAGCTTAATGACATCCTTTTATGAACCATACGTCAAGTTGAATGGAATTTGTTGAAATATGCTTCAAAGAAATATTTATTAGTATTTACCAAACCTTTGAACTAAATTAACGATTTGGTACAACCTAGATGAATATTAGGAGCTTTAATATATTTAGTTATAATTACCAAACCATGGTAATAGTTCCCAATCCTTGGTAACAGTTCCGAAATATTGTTAAAATTCGGGAACTAAATATCTTTAGTTGTCGAAACTAATCCTTTGTCTCAGTGTGTATTTTAGGACGAGTGGATAAGGCTTAAGCCAAGAGCTTCGGTGATCAAATCCACTTTTTAGCAAAAAAATACAGTTACGCGGGTGTGCAGAACGACGATACGCGGTTTTGTACTTTAACCGACGACATATGAATGCAAATGCACTCAGAAAAAGGTTTAGTTATAATTACCAAGATTTGGTTATAGTGACCAAGTGGCATAGTTGGATATGGCGAAATAAATATCTAGTTCACGAAAGTCTGCAATTTACTTGAGACGTCTAGTTGGGACAAATGTATATTTGTTAATAATTACAAAACGACTACCTTGATTGGATAATATTGTTAGTTGAATAAAATCATTGTTGAGCAAATATAAACAATGCTTTGGTTGATACAAGTTTTCAATTAATTTTGTGAACTTGCTGTAGACGTGAATCAGCTAACCGTTTATTATTGAAAAAAAGTTTCCAGTTTGACACAAATAAAAATTTACTTGATGGCTGTTGTGTTTACTTTCTTCTTTATTTGCATATTCTAAGCATAAAAATTTATACATATTTATATAAATAGTTACTAGTGTAAATAATACATATGTATATGGTGGTAAAAGAAAGAATGAAACAGGAATAGTCGTGCGAAAACCCCGGTCAATATCTGCTGGTTTAAGTATACTGCTTTGGTTTTTCCTTGGCTAAATAGATACTTTCAAAATGAGAAACCCCGGTTGGCATCAAACTTTATATTTTTAAATAACTATGCGCACACCGAAACAACTCGCGGCGATGGCAAACCTGAAACTGAGACAAACAAGCCTGGGCATGTCATAGCACACACTTTTCTTTCTCTATCTAGCGCAGTGATCGACATGCCACAGCTTACTGAGCGCTCTGTGACCACACGCGTGTTTCACCCATATACGAACAGCGGTAGCGGAGCAATGATTTCCACACACACAGTCTCATTCATTGAATTTATGCAATGGTCGGCATACTGGCGCATTCAAACGATTCAGTAGGTGGGACTGTGTGCATTGCTTAGCTGGCGCTCTTCGTATGTGAAACACACATGTGCTCAGAGAGCGCTGAGCATTATTTAGGGGTGGCTCACAAGCATGAATATGTTCCGCTCTCAAACCAAATCGTGGTTGCCTCAACTAAGATTTGGTTTGAAAGAAAGCGTATCTGTATTAGCCGAGCTTAATGACATCCTTTTATGAACCATACGTTAAGTTGAATGAAATTTGTAGAAATATGCTTCAAAAAATTATTTGTTAGTATTTACCAAACCCTTCAACTAAATTAATGATTTGGTACAACCTAGATGAATATTAGAAGCTTTAATATATTTAGTTATAATTACCAACCCATGGCAATAGTTCCCGATCCTTGGCCACAATTCCCAATTATTGTCAAAATTCGGGAACTAAATATCCTTAGTTGTCGAAACTAATCCTTTTTCTCAGTGTAATGCGTTAGTATAGAAAAAACTGCGATGAGCCGAAAAAGTACCTAAAGATGTAACAATTTTTCCTTATACTATTCACTCCCCTATTCTAATAAAGTCTCAAAATTCAGTACATCACTATTGCGATTTATACTGCACCTCAAAGTATGCCGCTAAAGCAAACATGCCGACTCGAAATGAAACTTAAAATTTTAGTGTACTTCATCGGCACTTAAAATCTATGTTTTGGTGGCATATTATTAGGCGCAGTATAAATCACAATAGTGATGCGCTGAGTTTTGTGACATTTTTAGAATAGGGCGGTTTATCAAAAAATGTTAATCTCGTCCGAAAATTTCGCGTTTACGCCGATTTTTCGAGTCACTTTTTGCCGAATCGAGTTTCAGTAGTCCGAACGGGGACCTGTGCATGTTTATACGTATTTGTATATACTTATTTAAAAAGTTTGTTAAGTTTAATAAGAACGTTGCTTTTTCTACCGCCGCCGCAAAGATATATCATAGGAAAAGAAGAAACAATTGGAGTATTTTCCGACCGGTACTTAACAATAGGGTAGCCACAAGTTTGATCGAGTACTTTCGGCTAAATCCTACCGAAATTGTAGCCGTAAATCTTGTAAAACCTTAAAATTGACTAATACGGAAACGCAGAATTGACCGTTTCTTCATTTCTTTAGCCAACTTCACTTTTTAACGCGCTGTCGAGGTCTGATTCTCTTACTGCTCAGCGTAACCCCCATATTATTTTATTTGCTTCATACCAGTTAAGGTAGGATACAACCTATGGTCTAAGCCAAACATCTAAATAGGTGGGAAAGCAAGTAAATACTTTAACCGCGTACACGTTACCCAACTAAGTAAGTACTTGGGGAAAGGATTCGAGTACAAAAAGTACTCAGTACTTGAAGAAAGAATCGAGTAATTACTCATAGTTACTTGTATTGGAACAACACTAATTATTAAATGGTAACAAATTTTACTAGTTACAAGAGTGCGCAGATAGCGAAAAGGGTTTTAGAATTGACAGAAACTTTATTTACTGGCCTAATCTGCACGTTACCGACGACGGAAAATTGTATTACCAAAAAATGTTACCGTTTCTTGTCACCGCAATTCTAGGTACGCTGGTAATGCAGTAAAATATTCAGCACTTCAGCTCTGAAAAATTATTGAAATTCTGATGTTGTCTATTGCACGGGGTAATATTTTGTTACTAGCTTATGAGATGGCAACAAAATTTACTGATTACAACAGTGCACGGAATTCGAAATGGTTTAAAAGTTGCCGTAAACTTTATTTTCCAGTTACAAAATTTTTGTTATCAGCGCAGAATTATTCTAAAGGAAAACCTTGGCTACTTTGACTACTGTTTATTTGTTGGTTCATTTGAATTTTCTTCATTTTCAACATTGTTCCTCGGATTTAATCTTGTATTAAGTAACATAAACAAACAGTTACGGCTTACTGTAACACTGTAGGTAAATTATAAAGTTTTGAAATATCACTGCTAGACGACCAAACACATAAACTTAATTTGGTCTCCAGTTTACGATGGCGTTCAGAAAATCCGTATCACGTCAAAATTTTGAGATATTGAGGAGGGAAGTTTTAGAGCTCTGAAAGTGAATTTTTCGTTGTTTATAACACTGTGCTCAGGTTTTGAACTTTTTTTTCTGGGAAAAGGTTTATAAGCTGAACTTCCTTGATTGGGATCTTCTAAATTCAATGGCGTCCCCTGTTTTAACGGTACTTGAAAATTTGCTTAAATTTTAGCTTTTTTGTTAATGAACGGATATAAACCAAATTAGTATGACACCACCTCTAAAATACCACCTTTCCTTAAAAAAAAGAATTATAGAAACCGATTAACGTGGTCCAAAGTTATGCGGTAACATGCACCAAAAAAAAAAAAAATTCGACGAATTGATAACCTCCTCCTTTTTTTTGAATTCGGTTAAAAATATTCCAGTATGGGAAGGAAAAGAACCCACAGTCAGGTCCAAATAGTGTAAAACCTAATAAAATTAAAAAATATTACGAAATAAAATATGAGTTATAGCCAAAACCACATATCTGAACAATCAGTTGTATGGGAGTAAATTAACTTTAAAAATGTGGGAATTATTAATAATAAAACTTAAAATGTAAGCCAATTTTCAAGTACCGTTATCTCGAAAACCGGAGTCAATCTGGCAAAACGGGGGACGCCATTGAATTTATAAGATCTCAATTAAGTAAGATCAGCTTTTAAATAAAACCTTTTCCGAAAAAAAAATTCAAAACCAGAGAACAGTGTTATAAACGACGAAAATTTAACTTTCAGAGCTCCAAAACTTCCTTCCTAAATATCTCAAATATTTGACGTGATACGGATTTTCTGGAAACGCCATGGTTATCTAGAGGCCAAAATTAAGTTTTTGTGCTTGGCCGTTTAGCTGTGATATTTTTGCCTCCCTACTGTGTAATTAGTTGGTAAGAAAATGTATTATATGCAAAATAACACCTACTTATAATTCTATTTACATGTATTTTCAAGATCCGTCCTCACCAACCGGCTTGATGACACGAGAGGGTCTCATCGAACCCGCTCCATAATCATGTATGGGCGTAGTGACCTAGCGAGTACAGGCCAGAGCGCCCGGACTATTACCAGTTTGCTACAAGAATCTACAGATACAACCAACAAACTTACAACTTGCACTAAAAAGAATGTTCAACGTATCAGTAACAGTGTTCAGGAACAAATTGAACAACTTTTTACTGATGTAGCTAAAGATGCTACGTGCAGCTTTCCAGTGGTTTACTTAGGCTCTCTATCATTAAAATCTAAAGTTACAAGCCTTCAAGAACTACAAGGACCTCTTCGGGAACTGTATCTAAGGGACTCGCCTATTACGGTAATTTAAATAAATTACATAAATATAATATATTATATGCTTATTTCACACACATATCTAATTTAGAAACAAATGGCTGGGTTTCTGGAAATTTGTACAAAGGGATTAAGAGTTAAACTAAGCTCAACTCCTATTGAAAATGCCAAAAATTATGAAACCACTACCCCTTTCCATAATATTGCTGTTTGGTCCGCAGTAAAGTTGGTAATTTCAAATAATGATGGTAGCGCAGCCTTTTTGCCATTGATTACGGATCCCGAAAATATTGAGAAGACTTCACTGTTTCGTCCTCTGTGGTAAAGTATATGTACATGTATGTATATGTAACACAACAGTAAATATTCGATTGATTTTACAGTGGAACGGAAAATAATCAAGTACTAAACAGCGGCCTAGCTCCGATTTTCGCGGTGGTGATGCGCTCCGCAGGCTCGCCAAAAGTTCTTAAATGCCATGCATTTATATGTAAAACTACTGAAGATGCAATCGTAATTGCTGCTACACTTTATCAAAGCTTAATGGTACATGTGAATACAAGTTCGCACCGCAGTTGTAAAAGACGTGCGCCCCGAAACCAAAATGGCGTTAGTTGCGTAAGTACTGCCAGTAGTTCTGTCCGAACTGGCTCAAAATACTTATCGAATTCTCAAGCATTAGTCAATGGACGCAAGAGTTCTTTTCGCAGTTCAAGTGAAAGCTTCGGAGCGAAAACCGCCACACCTCCAAGAATAGGACGCAAGAAGCGTGTTACGAATGGCGCTCTTGCATCCAGCAATAACATTATTAATGAGGCGGAAACTACAACAGAAGAACGCAAGAGAAAATCTCACAAAAGTAAACGTGCACCATCAGTTCCAAAAGTCCTACATGCAGGTGCGTCTAGTTGTAACAAGAGTGTTCCAAGCACTCCTGGGCTCAAAGAATCCCTCTGCGATTGCTGCGGAAGCAAAAACATCAACCATAAAAATTTACGGACTGGAAAGGCTGTAGAAAGTGTGTACAAAGTTTTAGAGGTTTTAGATGCAAGACCTTTACCAATAACGGACTCAGTGGGTAGTAACTCCAATACTGGTCCACACTGTGAAACCAATGGAGATATATTAACACGAGTAGCAATACCACGATCCGGTAGCTTCCTAAATACGGGAGGACTTACGCGGTATAAATCAAGAGCTGCGCGTTGTCATTCGGGAAAATCAGGCGGTGGTGGTGGGTGAGTACTTTCTGAACTAACATAGAACCAGGCGTTATTTTTTACAATTCATAAGCGAAAATCCTCTCCAAAATTAAAATAACCTCAAAAAGTTAACGAACAGAAAACGTCCAGTTACTTCCAAAAACAAGAAGAAAAAGACAAACGAGCTTTGTTTGAGGTTTGTTGGTAAATACACATATACATATATAAGTTGTGGGAGAAAGGAAATGGGACGTTCAATGTTCACCAGTAAAGAAAAATTCGAAAGCGTCTCAAGTTCTGAACACATTGAAAACGACGAGCTACCGACCACAGCTTC